TCCCACTGATTCCGGGAGCTCTCCGGGGCGTGGCTGCTCTCCGCCGCTTCTCCCGGGAAGCCGAGGTCTGGGTGGCTTGGCCCCCGGTCACTCGGCGCCTGCTTCCCGATACAAACCTGACGGGTTGCTGCTGCCGCTGCCGCTGCTCTTGTGGCTCTTTCTTTTCTTTCACGGGGAGGACCTGATCTCCGGAGCGAGGTCGAGCTCGCCTGCTCCGCGGCTGTCCGAGCGTTGCTAAACTTAAACGAGGGAACGGTTCGAGGATGTGCGCGGTTGCAATCGTCGGATTTGCTTTGCAGTCAATTTGCTGTCGCCCCACAGCTTGTTTATCTGTTGATTAAAAGGCAACCTCTCCCTCTTCTCAGCCCTCCCCCGCTCAGTTTACACTTGGGAGTGAGCCCCTTGGAGAGATCTCTTTCCCACTAAAGGTGGCCAAGACCCTTCACGCTTTCTTTTAATATAGGATTGCTTGGGGCGGGGGGAAACACCACCCAAACGTGTTTAAAACGAACGTTTGGCCAGTTCTTCTTTCTCTTGACAATTTCACAAAAGAGGGTGATGTTGCAAACCTTAACGTAAGCCCTGTAATAGATTAGCTCAATTGGTCATTATTCATCTCCAAATAGGATCCTGGAAAGTCTTCCCAAATCTAATTCATGGCAGTTGAAAATCCCAGCAGTGCCCTGTCATACTTGCAGAACACTGCATTCTTGACTAAAACTTTAAACAGTAGTTTTGGTGAGGTTTTAAAAAAAAAGTCAAAAGTGCTTCCACACATTTCTGTGAGCAAAGTGTAGATTTCCAATGGTTCTCTCATTCAGGCTCTAGCCCAGCATAGCTTGTTGTTGGTTAGTCTCTAAGCCATGCCCAACTCTTCGTGACCCCATGGATCAGAGCACACCAGGCCCTCCTGTCTTCCACTGCCTCCCGGAGTTTGGTCAATTTCATGTTGTTTGCTTTGATGACACTGTCTATCCATCTTGTCCTCTGTGGTTCCCTTCTCCTCTTGCTTCAGGATCTGTCCTTCCAGTGAGCACTCAGGGTTGATTTCCTTTAGAATTGATAGGTTTGTTCACCTTGCAGTCCAGGGGACTCTCAAGGGTCTCCTCCAGCACCACAATTCAAAAGGATCGATTTTTTTGTGGTCAGTCTTATTTATACATCGCTAGTGGAAAAACCATAGTTTTGACTATGCGGACCTTTGTCAGCAAGGTGTTGTCTCTGCTTTTTTAAGATGTTGTCTCGGTTTGTCATCGCTTTCCTCCCAAGAAGCAGGCATCTTTTAATTTTATTTATTTATTTTGTGCCTGCTGTCACCATCTGCAGTGGTCACGGAACCCAAGAAAGTAAAATCTGTCACTGCCTCCACATCTTCCGCTTCTGTTTGCCAGGAGGTGATGGGGCCAGTGGCCATGATCATAGTTTTGTTGTTGTTGTTGTTGAGCTACAGACCATTTTTTGTGCTCTCCTCTTTAACCCTCATTAAGAAGTTCTTTAATTCCTCCTCACTTTCTGCCATCAGAGTTGTATCACCTACATCTCAGAGGCTGTTGATATTTCTTCCGGCAATCTTAATTCCATTTTGGGATTCCTCTAGTCCGGCCTTTCGCATGATGTATTCTGCATATAAGTTAAATAAGCAGGGGGACAATATACAGCCTTCTCGTACTCCTTTCCCAATTTAGAACCAATCAGTTTTTCCATACCCAGCTCTAACTGTTGCTTCCTGTCCCAAATATAGATTTCTCAGGAGATAGATAAGGTGGTCAGGCACTCCCATTTCTTTAAGGACTTGCCATAGTTTGCTGTGGTCCACACAGTCAAATGCTTTTGCATAGTCAATGAAGCAGAAGTAGATGTTTTTCTGGAACTCTCTGGCTTTCTCCATAATCCAGCGCATGTTAACAATTTGGTCTCTAGTTCCTCTGCCCCTTCGAAATCCAGCTTGTACTTCTGGGAGTTTCTCGGTCAACATACTGCTGAAGCCTACCATGTAGGATTTTGAGCATGTGAAATGAATGCAATTGTACAGTAGTTGGAGCATTCTTTGGCACTGCCCTTCTTTGGGATTGGGATGTAGACTGATCTTTTCCAATCCTCTGGCCACTGTTGGGTTTTCCAAACTTGCTGACATATTGAATGTAGCACCTTAACAGCGTCATCTTTCAAGATTTTAAATAGTTCAACTGGAATGCCATCACCCCACTGGCCTTGTTGTTAGCCAAGCTTTCTAAGGCCCCTAGACTTCACTCTCCAGGATGTCTGCCTCAAGGTCAGCAACCACACTATCTGGGTTGTCCAGGACATCCAAATCTTTCTGGTGTAATTCCTCTGTGTATCCTTGCCACCTCTTCTTGATGTCTTCTGCTTCTGTTAGGTCCCTCCCATTTTTGTCCTTTATCATGTTCATCTTTGCACAAAACGTTCCTTTAATATCTCCAATTTTTCTGAACAGATCTCTAGTTTTGCCTTTCCTATTATTTGCCTCTATTTCTTTGCAATGTTCATTTAAGAAGGCCCTCTTGTCTCTCCTTGCTATTCTTTGGAAGTCTGCATTCAATTATCTGTAACTTTCTCTGTCTCCCTTGCACTTTGTTTCCCTTCTCTTCTCTGCTATTTGTAAGGCCTCGTTGGACAGCCACTTTGCTTTTTTTCATTTCCTTTTCTTTGGGATGGTTTTTGTTGCTGCTTCTTGTACAATGTTACGAGCCTCTATCCAAAGTTCTTCAGGCACTCTGTCCACCAAATCTAGTTTCTTAAATCTGTTCTTCACTTCCACTGTGTATTCATAAGGGATTTTG